AAAAAGGCAAAAAAAAAAAAAGCTATGCCCTAGATGTAGGGCTTTTCTTCCCAACCAAAGGTCTACAAAAGTTTCTATAGAAACTGTGATTGAATGGTCCCCATATACGTCAGTCCCCTTTATTAGGGATTTTATCTGTTATCACCCTCTTCTCTGAAAGTCATTCTGCACAATTCCCAGTTGCATTTTGGACTTGATGGGATCCTTAATTCAGATGCAGCTCAAGAACAAGGACAACTCCTTTGAAGGGTAGCTTTCCCAGGTGTTGGACATCCATACAGGTGCAAAATATGAGGGGCCAAGGTGGGGGGAGGATAGCAGATGAGGCCCCTTTAGACATGGCCAACCACCTTAAGCTGCTGCAGCTGTGCTGTGTACTCAACACTGATAGGTGTGTGGATGCCACTGAAACTGTGTAACATTGTCTCCCTTTTCTGTCTTCCCAATGCTTCTGTTGGACCTGATATTTCATTTTGAGAGTCACCGTCAATAACCTCTGTACCCTCTCAAAACCTATGTGTGTTGCACTGAGGATGAAAATCCAACACTAATAAATGTTCTTTGGGCTAAAAATAAAGATCATTTTTAAATACTCGGTTTTCCAAGAAGGGTTGAACATGCCAGGGTTGTGCTGCTGTAATGTCTCCATGTGTCATTTGGACTAAATCTCTCTAATTCTATTGATTAGAGTCACAAATGGGTTATATGTTAAGTTCCAATATTTTTCTGACTTGATTGGAACCTGCTTCTCTGTGAGGCTATTTTTGTAATGAGTTTTTTGTACTTAATTTAACTGCCGCGGTCTTTTCGGGGGGAGGGAGGGCACTTTGTTCTTTTCTTGTTTATTGTTAATGCTCTCCTATGCCAGCCTGTCATTATTCCAGTTGTTTGAAAAAAAAAAAAAAAGGAAGGAAAAAGGGTGCATCTGTTGTCTGGGTCCTCAAGTCACCATATATGGCTGTCTAAAAACGTCACTGTTCTGATTGCGATTTCTGCAGCCTTATTTGAGTGTTGCCTTAGACTGTCTGACTGGACAAATAAACTCTCTTTGCCCTATGTTAACAAATGCAGATTTTTTTTCTTTCCTCTTTGTTATAGGGAATCTAAATGTTCAACTTTTTCTCTTTCTCTTTCTCTCTTTCTCTGACTGTTCTTGGTGCTGGCCCTCCCTTCTACAGCGATGATACCTCCTAATATCGCTGCATGTATGAGAAATGAAAAGCTCGGGGAGGCTTGCTTCTACCTTATGGGCCATAATCAAACTACGGTTTGTAGCTCAATCAATACTAGGTGTTTCTGTGCTGTGGCCTAATTTCCTCATTGCTTCTGCTTAGCTCTATTTTGATATGTTTGGCAATTCATTCTGAGCACCCTGCGTTCTTTGAATTGTAAGTACACCGTTGACCCTGTTGAAAGTCTTGCTCTCTCTTATCTTAAAAGTAGGAGTAAGAAACCCCAAGGTTAGGTTTACGATAGTGATCTATGCACCGCCCCTCACCCAAATCTGAAAATGACTGTGTTAATTCTAATAGCCTACCCAGCATTTAGAGTGAACAAACCTCCTATCACAGAGCTCTCGCCTAGGCAGATAGGGCTTTGTTAGACAGGGAGATGAGATCTCCTGCTCCACCAGTTATCTCCTGGCCAAGGGCAGCCCGTGGGCCAAATCCTGCCCACAGCCTGGTTTTGTAAGTAAAGTTTAGCAGCACAACACATTTGATGTGTTGTCTGAGGCTGCTTTGACACTACAGTGCCAGAGTTGAGTAACTGTAGCAAACTATGCGGCTGCAAAGCCAAGAATATCACTTCCCTGGCCTTTATAAAAAAAAGCTTGCCAGCCCCTCCTCAAGACTACATTCCTGCCTTTGTTAACACCTCCCCAGTGGTTTGGGAGATCATTCATGAAGCGCAGGCTGCTTACTGTTGACCTCGTTGCTTCATGAAAGACCCTTAAAGGGCCTCCACCTCTCCCCTGTGACGCCCCCTGGTGTGCCCTCCCTGCTGCGGGCGCTCCTGGTGCCCTGCCCAAAAGGTCTGCTGGGTATGACCTGTTGGGTTCAGTTGTCAACAAAGCAGCCCTGCTCTGAGAAGAGCTCTCATAAATTCGGGACGCTACCTGAGACGTCTGCAGTGCTCTCTCGGAGAGTTTAATAATAAAAGCCCTTGTGTGTTGCCCCGCTTTTAAACCTACAGCCCCGTTGGTGTCGCCAGCAGCAGTGCAGCGCCACCCCCCGGGCATCGCTGTCATTACAGCTGAGCACGGGGACGAGGGCCGGGAACGGAGCGTTTAGCTGACCCCGGGACGTCACTGTGGCCCCGACAGCCTCCCTTCCGCCCGTTCCGCTTGTCAGGAGACTCCACATTTTGAAAAGTTCCTTAAAAATTTACACAAAAGTGAAGGAAGTAGCTGAATAAGTATAAAAGCAGAGAGAGAGTTTAATGGCCCCTCACTCGGTGTCCCGCTCGCCGGTCAGGGACATCCGGCCGGCTGCCTGTGACCCCTCTGCGCACCGCCGGGTGGTTTTGTTAACGTCGAAGCCCGCGGTGCACAGAAGGCGCGCGGCCGGCTCGC